TTTTAAATACTGTGTAAGCCTAAATCAATGTGTCTCCTTAAAGTCTGAAATGGCACCCAGAACAGAATGGCCAGGAACCCATTGCCCCCAGGAAGAAATCTAAGCTTGGAGTGGTACATAAGTATAGTTCTGTGGTATTACAGTACTATGGACAATTCCAAAGCATCCATTTGATGCTTCCACCTGAAGCATTAGTAACCAAGGTGATGTCTGATGCAATTTCCTTATACGATTTGTACCATATATCCCAGTGTTTATTCGGGTGAACATTTGACTTGCCTCTGCATGTGTTTGTCACATCAAGCAGAGTACACCCACCTTTCGCGAACACCTTTTTACAAAACCATTTATTACAAAACAGGACATGTATGTTCTTTCTTGGTGTTTGTTGAAATTTTATCAAACTTTGTGTAAAACTATCTTTACTGTTATAATTCTTTATGATACGATACCTTTTTGCGTATGTGTGTGTGTGTGTTTGTGGTGTGTGTTTGTGGTGTGTGTGTGTGTGTGTGTGTGTGTGTGTGTGTGTGTGTGTGTGTGTGTGTGTGTGTGTGTGTGTGTGTGTGTGTGTGTGTGTGTGTGTGTGTGTGTGTGTGTGTGTGTGTGTGTGTGCGTGCGTGCGTGTTGGGTTGATAATATTCGTTGAAAGTGCATATTCCCTTCAAAGAAATGAAAGCAAACTCAAAGAATGTAACTATCTACTTTGTATACATACTAGGAGTTCAAAAGGCCTTCTTCATGTGCAGAAGCCGTTCCCGATATCAATAATCTATGCTACTGGGTATATCATGTTGATATGGACGAGGCCCCATCTTGCAAACAAGAATTAAAAGTGTTCAGCATAACTATATACTGCATATTCATTTGAAGCAAAATCTTGTTTGCGTAACTTCCTGGTACAATGGTTGTTATTGACATGCTAGTGGGTGATGTTAACATCTGGTGTTACGAACTACGTATATAGGTTTGGGGTGTCTGTAGTGTCGGGGTTTTGTTTGATAAGAATATTTGATATTGATAGGATATTAACAAAATAATATACCATTATACACCTACGTGCATATGCCATTATACTTACGTTGACTATTGACAATGTACTTTGTTAGAATACCTTAAATGTCTGAGGAAATGTATTCACTCAAAACATATGACTATGTTATGCACTGACTTTATTATAGTTGTTCCTGTTCTCACAATATGTTGTGATTATTGATTTGGATGGAAATGTTTTGGATAAAATATACATTCAGTCATGGATACACGGACAGTTGATCCACATTCTATATCAATGCAGCGCCAGGAAATCCAATCTCACTTTCAAGCCTTTGAGGTTTAAACTTTTATCGATTCGTGTTGATATGTTTCATATAAAAAGACACCTGGGTGGGATTATCTATAACCGTACATATCCAACCATGAGAAAATTAAAATTGCCGATGCTTAGACCCTTTCCTAGTAACTTGATGGTAGTTTATTGTGGGTATTTGAGCCTTGTGCATCACTACAAACATAACAATAATCCTAAAGCTGAAACGGAAGCACCTGGAAATGTGTATTCGCTGAATTTAAAAGATAACATCGACCCCATTTGGCAAGCAATACACGCGGTGGCAAGCTAACCACTAAAAACAAGTTGCATTTTATATAACATCCCATACATTAATGTACTCTGCAGTAGTGACATACCCCTAATATTCATTCAGATCATTTAGTAATTTCAGTTACTATATCGCTATAAGAATGCAGAGCGAAAAAGGTTCTTTTCAAAATTCAATTGTTGCAGTAAAAGAATAATTATGTCATAACTTGATAAAGAAGATAAATAAACTGTTTAATCGACAAGTATAAAGACAAGGCTTTCTTGTCAAACATGAGAGGGGAAACACTTTTTCTACGCAACAATACAAAACAAAATGAGTCAAGTTAAAGAAATATAGAATCAAAATTAAATACTTTAGAAACTTTAAATGAAATTCGGATAAAGTTAACAGAAATGAATATTAAACAAAATATACACGGATAATTTCATTGATTAAAAAGGTGGATAGAGCAAGGGAAAGGCAAGTCACCATTCGTATACAAGTATATTTTTCAGGGAAACCATACAATTTCCTCTGCCTAAAAGGACATAAAGGGAAATTTAGAATATTGGATCCAAACTTTACAAGAACAGAAAGTTATGAAAAGTGGGGATATACACGTATACTGCCTCAAATATACACAATAGTAGATTCGTAATCTTAGTGCAAGAGTTGTGAGTTGATGGTTAAATTTCAATTCAGAATCATACATGCATAATGATGTCAAACAATTACTTGTTTTAAACATATTCTATTCACAATACATTGTAGTAAAATGGATATGGTACCAGTTGTCCAAATTAGAACACCCTCTCCATAATATTTACAAAATCCAATTACAATATGTACAGTAGGCAGAAAGAAGGAAGGAGAAGCAGAATAGAATATTATGACGTACCTAAGTTATTACCGTTCTCGATATCTTCCACGTCACTGTATATTCAGTCACGGGGTAACGGGATTATGTTGACTCCAGACCCATCGCAAACACACAAGGAACAATTCTTCACTTCACATATACCCCATAAATTGTCAACCTCAACTTGTGATGTGATCACATGACTGACAAACTTCCCCGCCTCCGTCAGTTGGATCAGCTTGTTTCGGCGCCCGTCTGCAAGCGAGATATCTCCTGTACTGGTAGTTGTGATGCCAGAAGGCCAGGACAGAGACCTGTCTCGTACAGGAGCGTACTCCCGCAGGATATTCCCCTCTGACGTTACGCAGGTCAAAGACTTCTTCCAGTCTGACACTAGAATCCTGTCCTTGCCCTTCATACTAAGACAGAAAGGGAGAATAAAACAGGTCTTGCTTGCCATGTGTTGTGATTGATCTCAACACTTTTCCTGACATATTCAGGATATCAACCCAGGTCCGACAGCCCGCTATCAGTTGTGATGGATCTCAAACCACGAAGATGGAGTATCTTCAGGTGAGCATCACCAGGTCAGGATATACTTCTACTGTTACAATCTGCCGGGCGTCTGGAACCTCAGCCATCACCTGGTTCTTATTCAACTGTGTTATACACCTTGGTTCGTTATTCAAGGGAGGTTTGCTGTGGCACGACTGGTTATTCCTTGTATAAAAAGACTTCAGGCACTTGTTCTTCAAATCCGTAACAGCTGTTTTTGGTATAGCATCTATGACAAAAACAATGACATCAGATAGACCTGCCTCCTTGACGTCAAGCTTTACCCTGCCATCAACGACGTCACACAACATGGAGGACACGGCCATTTTGACGTCTTGGTATGCACGTTATATATAGGTGGTGTCAGCGATAATGGTTATCAACTTCAAAGGTAAAGCCGAGCCAATAGCGTGTTGTCTTGGGTTTTCCAGATAACACCTTCCTGAAAAATATGTAAAACTTTGTTATAATTCACGTAACATTAAAAACATAACCATCATAAATCTGATAGTTGATGGAAGTATATGAATACGAAAGATATAACAGTGTAACGTCAGTCACGCATGACGTAGTCTTGATTAGGATACCCATATTACTATGTGTGTTGTGTTTCACACCTCTATGCTCAGGTTCAACAGGAGTGGGTAGACGAAATTAAATCATAAATAAACCTAACTCCGATTTATTGAATACAACTGATAAAACATGCGCAAAATAGATTCACAATTTGAAGTCTTAGTCTCAAGAGTTTATATACTGAACATTTTCCAACAACGTATACATGTACCTTTACGAACTCACAAAGCCGTTATTATCGTACACATGCGTTGGTGTAGTGGTTGAGTTTCTCCCCGATATGTCCATTATGACGACTTCCAACATGTCTATTTAGTAATTTTTCCAACAACCGCGATAAATACGTGATAAATAATTGGCCCATCGTTAATTAAGTAACGAACACATCGTATGTCAGTGCTGAGAAGTGATCAACAATGTTATGATCACCTTAACAAATACCACCTCAACAAAGTGATTTAAAAATATTATGAATAGCAAATTGGTCGCAAAGCTACATAAGCTGTGTATATCAGAAGACACTATCTCCGATCGTGTACTGACTTCCGGCACGTCATGTGTACAGAACGATGTGTCTGTTGAGGAGGGGCTTGGTGAGGATTATATCAAAATAACAGGTATAACAGACACGGATCTGACAGTGTAGCTGAATACCGGAAATACTCTGACAACATTTCAACATCCAACATTGTCATTTTAACCGTTCTAGTGCACCCATGACCTATGACATTGGTATCCATAAATTATATCTTCTTTTTCATCCGTCAACCTGTTTAAAATGCCTATTAAACAGTTGTGTGAATTGATTTCGCCTGGCAAAAAAGTAACATATGCCAATATGGACGAACGCTATCTTTTCTAGAAACTGTCCATCAACCATCCCACCTCAAACAAAATTGATTGTTCCGAACATGTACATGTATGTTCCATACATGGTCTGCCAATTACTGTAAGTTGCTGTGTCAACTTTATAAGTGAATAAACAAGAAGAGTGAACTTCTTTGAAAACCTTCTTTACTTCGGTTCATGTATATACAAGAGCGCGGCTTCCGGTGGTTGGCCATGTGCTGTGTAAGGGAGGTAACCCCAGCTGTAGTTGTATGGCGCTTACCGCTAGTTAAGATATAAATCTACATCCTTTCTCCTTTAAGAGAAATACTAACCAAAAGGTTGTTTTTTTGTTTTGTTTTTTTTCTTAAATGAAACATCACAGCAGTCTATGTGACACTGCCAAAGATTAATACAAGAGTGTTGATGAAAAGTCCAATGGAGGTATGACTTCCTCCTGAAAATAATAAAGTTAGTGTCTCTGAAATTTGTTGTCAACTCTTTGTTGACAGAATTAAATAATACAGTTGAAGTCCACTGGTCATAATGAAATGTCTTTAAATCTTTAAAAGGCATTTATCATTTAATACAGTTCAGTGTCAATCAAGGTATTTGTGATTTGGTTTCACAGTTCTGCCACTCCTGGTAACTGTCATGTTAGGTTGTGTGTTGTTTTCTTGCACCACCATCGGTCTTGTGTCTTCACTTCTCTTTGTTGTGATTTCTTGTCTCATGTTAGTCTTTGTAACTTGTGTTTCAGTGTCTTTAGTGTGGAGTGTATATTCCTCTGGTGGGGGTGTTAGCTTCACTGGTGTTTTCTCATGTGTGAATGAGAGTTGTCTTCTGTTCCTTCTTAGGTCTTTACCTTCCGAAGATATGATGTAGGATCTGGGTGACTGTCTGACTAGTCCTAGTCTATCAAATCCATTATTTGTTAGAATTCTCACTTTGTCACCAGGTTCAAGTCTAGGCAGCAGTTTTGCTGTCTTGTCGAAATACTGTTTTTGTTGCCCTCTCAGTTCTACAAGGCGTTTGTAGATACTTGATGGTTTTCGAATAACTGGTGAAAGTAGCTTGGACGACATGGGAGTTTCAGTTTTGGTTCTGCGTGACATGAGTCGTTGGGCAGGCGATCCCAGGACTTGATCGCGGGGTGTATTTCTCTGGTTGAGTATGGCAAGGTATGGGTCACTGCCATCTCTACTTGATTTTTCCAAAATTCTTTTGGCAGACTGTACTGCCTTTTCAGCAAGTCCATTGCTCTGTGGATAACCTGGACTGCTCGTTTTGTGTGTGAATCCCCATGTTTTAGCAAATAATGCAAACTCCCGTGATGAGAATTGGGGCCCGTTGTCAGTTAGAAGAGTGTCTGGCACACCAAACCTAGCAAAGTGCCCTTTTAGCTTTCTTATTACAGCTGCAGAGGTAGTTGTGTTCAGAGTGTTCATTTCTATCCAACCAGAGTATGAATCAACGAGCACAAGGTATTCGGTTGAGTTCCAAGTAAATAGATCTGATGCAAGTATTTGCCAGGGCCTGGTAGGAATCTCATGACATTTGAGAGGTTCCTTCCGCTGTTGAGATTTGCAGCTGTTGCACACTGCACATTCAGCTACCCACTGTTCAATGTCAGAGTTCATGTTACACCAATACAGGAAATCTCTTGCTCTTCCTTTACACCGTTCGGCATTGAGGTGTCCTTGATGAATATGTTTCATGTAGTCATGCCGCAGTGATGTAGGGACAATGACTTTGTCTCCTTTAAAGAGGATGTTGTCGCATTCTGTGATTTCATCTCTGAACGAGAAATATTTCCATGCCTCTGGGTGTACATCTCGTTTGTACTGTGGCCAGCCATGTTTGACATATTGGCGAATTAACACAAGTTCCGGATCACGACCAGTTTCAGCCTTGAGTTGCTCACTTCTGGCATCTGTCATGGGTAAAACTGTCATTACCTCAAATTCCTCATAGTCAGGTATATTTGAATTATCTTTCAAGAAGGCTCTCGACAGTGTGTCTGCAACATGAAGTTCTTCGCCCTTCTTATAGACTAACTTCAGGTCGTACTGTTGCAAACGCAGAAGCATTCTTTGCAAACGCGCCGGTGCAGCAAAGAAAGCTTTCTTGTATATGCTGATCAAAGGCTGGTGATCAGTCTCTACTGTGACTTCTTTTCCAAGGATATAATCATGAAACTTCTCACAGGCAAACACAATTGCCAGGAGTTCTTTTTCGATCTGGGCGTAGTTTACTTGTGTTTTGGTCATAGCTCGTGAGGCATAAGCAATTGGACGACCGCTTTGGAGTACAGCCGCACCCAGTCCATTCTTCGAGGCATCACATGTTAGTGTGATGGGTTTGTTAACATCATAGTACTGTAGTGTGTTGGGCTCACAAATGTCTCTCTTGATACAATCCAGGGCCTGTTGGTGAGTTTGATTCCAGTGACACTAAATGTCGCTCTGTAGCAGTTCTCTCAAGGGTGCTGCTTTCTCACTGAGATGAGGAATAAACTTGGCAAGGTACGTGACCATACCTAGAAATCGTCGGAGTGATGGAACGACATCTGGAGTTGGCATTTCGAAGATTGCCGTGACCTTCGCAGGGTCTGGTTTGACACCTTGGTCAGTTAACAAATGTCCAACATAACTGACCTCTTTCACTTTGAAGTGAAATTTGTCCTTGTTGAGTTTCAGCCCTATTTCCTCAGCTCTGTCCAGCACTTTTACTGCATTTTTGTCATGCTGGTCTTCGTTTTCCCCCCATATTATGATATCGTCCATGATACTCTCACATGGCAGACCACTGAAAAGCATGTCCATGTTCCTCTGGAATACCTCACTTGCTGAGGTGATACCAAACGGCATGCGCAAGTAACGGTATCTACCGAATGGCGTGTTAAAGGTGGTAAGCAGTGAAGTCTCATGTGTCAAAGGTATCTGCCAGAACCCTTTTGAAGCGTCCATTTTGGTGAATATCTTTGCTGCTGGCATTCTGGACATTATTTCCTCAATTGTTTTCATTGGGTAATGTTGCCTCTTCAATGCACGGTTGAGATCTTTGGGGTCAATACATATCCGTACACTGTCCGAACCCTTTTTCTTTGCCACTACCATTGCTGACACCCAATCAGTTGGTTCGTTTATTGGAGTTATCACTCCTTCTTCAATCATTTTGTTCAATTCTGCTCTTATCTTTTCTCTCATGGGTGCAGGAACTCTACGTGGAGGTCTGACTACCGGAGATACATCAGGATCAAGTTGCGCATCATACGACACAGGCAAGTTTCCAAGTTTACCATCAAACAACTTGGGGTATTTGTCCATAACGTCCTGTTTGGACATTCTTTTTTCAGTTTTCACATCATGGATGTCAAGTTTCACCATGCCCAAGGCAATGCTGTCTTGTATGCCAAGGATGGGTTTCACTGGGCTGTCAATAATGTGGAATACTAGCTTGTGTAGTTTGCTCTTGAAGCCAATATTCATTTTGCATGTACCCAAAGTCATCATAGTGTCACCACTGTAAGCTACAAGTTTGACTGCTCCTGATCTGGAAATCATCTCTTTGTCTCTCACTTGTTTGAACAAAGAGAGAGGCATCACATTGCATTTAGCACCAGTGTCAACTTTAAAGCGTGCTGCTTTGTCATTGATTGTGATTGTTGTATGTGCTTCTGACGGAATGTTGTCTATACCATCTATCTCTATAGTGTCAATAAACAAGCATTCACTCTCATCTTGTTCATACCAGTCATCTTGAGATTCACAATTGCTTACTGGCTGCAGATCATGAATGCTTCGTGATCCTTGATACTTTGGTGGCCTAGTTCTTGCATGAAATCTACCCCTGCCTCTGGGACTTGATTTCCATTTCGAATTTCCACTGGCACTGTGACTGTATGTCTCTTGGCCAGAGGGACTGGACTGACAAACTGACTGGAAGTGGTTTAAATTGTGGCATCTGTGACACCTTTTCCCAAAGGCCTGGCACCGTCCTTGTGAGTGTTTCCACCCACAGCGTCTGCAGTCTCTCATATTAGTATTTCCTTGAATCGGGTGTGATTTAAAACTTGGTTTCTTTTGACTTACAAAGTCAACTTCTGTTAGTTTCTGTGTAACTTCTTGAACCCCTTTTTCTGATAGTTCATTGACATTACATAAGGTCACAGCTTTAGTTAATGTCAGGTCTGTCTCCTTTAATAACATTTTTCTCAAATGATCTGATGCTATTCCACATACGATTCTGTCTCTCAGCATTTCATCTTTTAGAACTCCATAATTACACGTATTTGCTTTGGTGCGTAAGTCTGTGTAAAATGTTTGAAAACTTTCACCTTTCACTTGTGAGCGTGTGTTGAACTTGAATCTTTCGATTGTCGTGTTTGTCTGTGGAAAACAAAATTCCCCAAATTTTCTTTTCAGGCATTTATATGATTCTTTAGATTCACCTTCACTGTAAACAAATGTTTTTTCTTTCTCAATTGCTTGTCTTCCGGCAATGTTCAGAAACACGTATGAACGAGCCTTGTCATTCTTGTCAGCGTGCGCCGCTTCCACGAATATGGAAAATTCGAGTTCGAATTGCCGCCAGTTGTCTGCGATGTCTCCTTCGAAGGATAATGGTGTAGGTTTGTTAAATGCGTCAGCCATCCCGCTTCTGACACCATGTAAGTTGCTGTGTCAACTTTATAAGCGAATAAACAAGAAGAGTGAACTTCTTTGAAAACCTTCTTTACTTGGGTTCATGTATATACAAGAGCGCGGCTTCCGGTGGTTGGCCATGTGCTGTGTAAGGGAGGTAACCCCAGCTGTAGTTGTATGGCGATTACCGCTAGTTAAGATATAAATCTACAATTACCACTAGACTGTCCAATCGACCTTTGCAATTGGGGCTATTAAAATTGTACATTATTTAAGAAATATTGTTTATCGTACAATAAAATACTGCAGGAAAGAATAAACCATGAGGGGCGCAGCAGAGTCATTTATTCCTTAAATGAGATATTAATTGATGGAACCATTTCTCAAATGTCATTATATGTGTCTGAAATATAGGGTACACAATATTACAACATTAAAATTCAGAACATCTATGTAAAGAGACTTCTTTGTATTGATATATTTGCCCCTAATAAGGCAGTACTAGGACAAACTGGACGTGATTGTATGCAGCGTTTAGTCAATAGAGCGTTGTAATTGTAATAGATAGTGGAGGATGGATTGTAATCGGTTCCGCATCAATTTTACTTCATGCTCAAACGTTCAGACAATAATGGCCAACAAACTTGGGTATCAGAGTTTAAGGATTTACTATTTGTATGATTGTATTTACCTTGGATATAGATTTCAGGTTATATTGGTAATGAGAATGTTTGTGTGTGGAATTTAAAGCAAAGACAGGATAATATGTTTACGCAGTCTTGTCATGATTCAAAATCAACATCTTAATTTCTATCCAGGTGTGCTATTTAAAATCACATTTACACCCAGGAATGTACATATCACATCTGTAGGTTTAGAATGTCGTTGCACAATCTAAACATACATGTATATTTGTTTAGAAGAGGCTCTGTTGTTCAATTAGCTGATTGTGTAGTGCGACAGCTGACAAGGAACACACTGTTTGTAGTGAAATTGAGCAAAAGAACCATTTACTATTTAGATCATTACAGATGTAAACAGGATATTGTTATCAATTTACAGCCAAAGCAACTTTGCACGATTTTAAAAGATGAAAATATATACATTTAACATTCACAAGAAGTTAGTCTATGAATGCTTCATTCACTATTCACAAAGAATGTGTAGAGTGCTTGTCTCAATCCCTGATAACGCTGGACTGAGCTGACACGGAAGTGATTTATCTGTCACGTGATATTGTTTCCTCGCCTACATAGATGCAGTAGAACAGGTATTACCTGTATGATATTTACGACACAAAGTGCCCAATGACCCCGTCTTTGCCCAATGCATGCTGATTGGATATAAATAAGCCTGATGTCAAGGGTTATGAATGTGCGGTGGTATATAGCGTGTAAATAATAGTGAATATTTGTATTTTCAAGTGACCTGACATAGTTGATATTTCAAAGAGATGAGAAATGAGGCAGATGTAAAATCGTTCAGCCATAGAGTGTTAATTCACTGGAGTGAGGGGCGGTCGGGTAGCCTAGTAGTCTAGTGGATATTGCTGGAATATAAGTGGCGTAAAACCACACTCACTCACTCACTCACTCACTCACTCACTCACTCATATTTTAAGAGAAATACGGTATTTCATCACTTAATACATGCAAACCTCTATGTTAACACATTGGTCAGCGCACTTGTTATTAGTATACATAATACATATCTGCCGGTTGGTGTGTCTATTGTCCGCCTGTCGTCAACTTAATTAACATGGTACACGGATACACGGTAATGAGATACCAGTGATATGATGAGGCACTCATTAATATTCCAACTACATATCATAGCGTTTAGGTGCCTCAATGTGTTTACACCTTACATATGTTATGGTTTCTAAACATTATAGAAATTGAAACCAAAAACAAACGTCTGACAGATCACAAAATACGAAATACATCAAACCCGCCAAAAAATCGACTCTTGACATATCTGCCCTTTCGTACTCAAACAGACGAGGCAATCTTACATGTAACTGTGCCATTGATCGAGACGGGGTGATTGCTCTGTCTAAGTTATTCTTCCAGGTTGGTCAAGTTATTTCTGGTATGGATCCTTGATACAACAGGATATTGATCATGTATGAAGACAGTGATGTGTAATTTATGTTTCATATTCGCATGGTTATCGCATTTTTTTAATAGTGTTTGTATGTTTCAGATAAAATCTCTCTTTTTGGTGTTGATTTGGACTTGTTACACAGCGGGTGATGGTACGTTGGTCACTTTATATCTTTACCTAACACATTGAGGCTGTAATGTGGCTAATAATTATCTTTTTTAATATTTTCACTGATATAATAGATATAAATAATAATGTCCAATGCACTGCCATCATTTGACTTGTCCCATATGTTCTCGTGTATTTCAAGTGAACAGCTGACGTGCCTTTACATGTGTTTGTGATGGGTGCCACCGGTGGGGCAGGATACGCTCACCTTTTCGCGAGCACCTGGTGTCATCACTATTTGATAGTGATTACTAAACACATGCTCATCATATAGTCGGAATTGTAAATGACTAGATTTCTTATGAATATGGAAACGGTTTTCTCACTTTAGTAAAATTGATATGTACTGT